TAAAAGCAGGAATATATTAATAACCAGAGTGAGAAATTCTTGCAGAATGCAGAGAAAAAGGAAAAGAAAAATCAAGTGAGAGAATGTAATAGATACAGAGAATAGAAAATTAAGATATAACTTATAAATGATTATTTCTGAAGAACAGAACAGAGCAAATGAAACAGAAGTAATACTTAACTATGGAGCAAAAGAATATTCCCAGACTGCCAAAATGATCTTTATATGTTGATTAAAAGTAATTTGCTCCTTCCATACAGAATTAATTAAGGTACTCTCATCTAGGCATACACAGGCAAAATGTGTAACACATCCACGCTGAGGAGGCAGGATAAAAAATTAGACTGGCTGTAGACATCTCTTTTGCAATACGAGATGCTAAGAAGAGACAAAGCATAATTAATCACCAATGTTAATATTATCTACCTAGAGATTGTAACAGAAGCAGCAGAAATAAATTCCAAAATTAATTAATAGCCAAGTTAAGTACCATGGCTTGTTGGAAATTAATATGTAAAAGTAACAGTTTTCTTAATTCGCAGCAATAAGGAGTTTAAAAATATAATAGGCTAAGGTGCTTGGCAGTCCTGGAGGGAGTGGCTCAAAGGCTGAGTGGCAACTTTGACAGCCTGCTGGGGCTAGAGCACAAAGCCTGGAGTCCAGGGTCCACCAAAGGGGAAACCTGATGAACCCCCTTCCCTTCATCTTGAGACACCAAAAGGATGCCTGCACTTGTGATGGTTACTTTTATGTGTCAACTAAGCTAGGCTATGGTGCCCAGTTGTTTGGTCAACACTAGTCTAGATGCTGTTATGAAGTAGTTACATGTGATTAAATCAGTCGTTCTTAAATAAAGGAAATTACCCTCCATAATGTGGGTGGGTCTCATCCAGTCAGTTCAAAGACTTAAGAGCAAAAAAGGAGTTTTCCCTAGGGTGTTTTTTGCCCCCTAGGGAATAGACATTTTGCCAGAACTCCCTCACTCTTCACTCTTTCTATAACCTGACCTACAGATATTGGGACACATGACTGCAGGAATCTCCAGTTTGTCACCTGACCTACAGATTTTGGATTTGTCAGTCCCCACAATCATGTGAGCCAATTCCTAAAAATAAATCTCTTCTCTCTCTCTCGCTCTCTCTCTATAATATATTATTCATTCTGTTTCTCTAGAGAACCCTGATTAAGATAGCACCCTAGAAGTAAGGTTGAACCATAAATAAATAGGCCTTCAAAATGACTGTAATTCAGCTTTGCATTATTCAGTCTCTGAAATAAGATTAACGTGATTCCAGATTACTAGTATTTCCAGGCGCATGGCAGAAATAACATAAATCCACTCAGGAAAAAGATATAATAAGAAGTTTAATTCACCAGGAAGATATAACAATATGAAATATATATGCACCCAGTAGTATTATAAAATATTTTAAGCTTAATAATAATAAAAATACTATAAATAAATATAAAAATTTATATGCAATGCATATAAAGCTGAGTCTAGAGGAAAAATTTTATATATATGAAAATAAAGGCTGAAAAATTAATAAATTTCAAGAAATTAGAAAAATAACATCAAATTGAAACCAAAGAAGGAATAAGGAAGGAAATATTAAAGGTAAGTACAAAAATAGAGAGGACAAACAAAGCCAAAAGTTGAGTCTGTGAAAAGCGTGATAAAATATGTGAATCTTTGATGAGATTGGCCAAGAAAAGAAATGAAAGAAGATACAAATATCCAATGTCAGGAATGAAAGAGGAAACTACAGATTTTATAGATATGAAAACAATAAGACTTTATTCTGAATAAAAAGTTGCCAGTATATTTGGTAATCTGGATGAAATAGCCAGATTTGTAGACAAGTTCAATTTACAAAAACTGATACAGGAAAAAATAGAGAATCTCAATACTTCTTTTTAACTATTAGAATGTATAATTAAAATATTCCACATAGAGAAAACGCCAGGCCCAGGGACTTTACTAGTAAATTCTACCAATTATTTAAGAAAGAAATATTACTAATTCTACACAAATTCTACCAGAGACTAGAAAAAGAGGGACCATTTCTATGAAGCCAACATAACATTGATAGCAAAACCTGACAAGTAGATTACACAAATGCCAATCAAAGTCATCAACATAGATACAAAATATAAGCAAGTTGAATCCAGAAATACACAAAAGAAGAAAATACATAATAACTAATTTGGCTTCATTTCAGGAATATTCAATATTAATAATAAAAAATCAATCAATGACATTCTTCATGTTAACAGAATAAATGAAAAAAATCATATGATCGTCTCAAAAATTTTAAGTAAATTTCAATGTCCATTTCTAATAAAAAATAAAACTGCTCAGCAAACGAGGGAATTTACTTAATCTGATAAAAAGATATATACAAAATCTTACAGCAAACATTATGCTTAAGTGAAATGTTAAAAGCTTTCCTTTTGAGATTAGAAATAAGGTAAGGATAATAGCTATGACCACTTCTACTCAACATTGTCCTGGAAGTCCTAGCTAATATTACAAGGCCAGAAAAAGAAATAAAATGAGTAAGAATTAAATAGTAAGGAAAAAAGCTGTTATTATTTGCAGCTATTATATGCAAACCCAAAATAATCTACTGATAAATTATTAAAATTAATAAATGGCATTACTAAGGTTTCTGGGTAGATCAATATTAAAAACAAAATCAATAGTATATTTATAAACTAGTTACAAACAGAAAATGCAATTTCCAAAAAGAAATAGCATAAAAAATAGTATTTAAATAGCATTAAAAAAACCTAACAAAAATAGGAAGACATATATGCAGAAAACTATAAAACAATATTTAAAGAATTTAAACATGACTTATATAAATGAGGATACTCCATGTTCATGGATTGGAAGGCTCAATGTTATATCCACTCTCCTCAAACTGATCTATAGATTCAGTGCAATCCAATAACATTCTGATTCTAAAATTAATACAGACATGCAAAGGACCAAGAATTAGCAAGACACTTTTGAACAAGAATAAGAAGGAGAAATTGCTCTAAATAGCAGTATCAAGATTTATTACAAAAGTACAACAATTAAACCTTTGTGGTATTTGCTCAAGGATGGACAAATTCATCAGTGTATTATAACAGTACAACAGATGTATGGATCCTTGATTATGTAAAAGGTAGCACTGTAAAGTAGTGGGAAAGGAAAGTCTTTTTAATGAACGTGCTTTTAGTGAACATCTTTTTAAATACTCATTTGAAAAAAGAACAAACTTGATTTTTGCCTCACACATACACAAAAATAAAATCCTGATGAATTTTTTTAAAAAGAGAAGCAAATAATAAAGTTCCTAGAAGACAATATAAAACAATATATTCATGATCTCAGGATAAGAAAAGACTCTTAAATAGAACATAAAAAGCACTGACCATAAAGGAAAAGATTGATATACATCACTACATTAAAATAAAGAACTTTTGTTTGTCAAAAATAACAGAGCAAAAAATAAAGCCTTAGAGGTAAAAGCTATGTAACACATATGACTGACAAAGAGCTTATTTCCAGAATATATAAAGATTTAGAGTTCATAGGATCTTAAGGTATGTGTATATTTAACTTTGATAGATAATAACAAAACATTTCCCAAAATTGTTGTCCCAAATTGTATCCTAAAGTGAAATCGCTGAAGCAGAAGTTTCTGTGAACAGAGCTATACTGCAAAGGCTAAGCTCCATCAGAAATCCTGAGATCAGGGGAGGGAAGCTAGAGAAGGCTTGGAAAACATTGAGGAGGAAATTGTAGTGGCAGAGCATAAGCTAGAAATGAAAAACTTAATACAGTGAAATGGAAATAAAAAATTAAAAGGGTTAAAGAGAAAATGGTAGATGTAGAAAACAGTCAAAGGAGATCCAACCTAGGTATAATTGGTTTATCTGAAAAGAAAATCAAGACAATGTAAAAAGAAGAAATATTTAAAATATAATAGAAGCAAAACAGGTGGTTTCTTATAATGTTAATCTTAATGTACATTTACCAGATGACCAAGCAGTTCCATCCATTCCTAAGTATTTACCAATATAAATGAAAGCACATGTCCACAAAAAGACTTGTATATGAATACTCATAGGTGCTTTAGGAATACTCATAGGAATTTGACAAAATGATTCTATATTTCATCCAAAAGAATAGATTTTAAATAGTCAATAACATTTTAAAAATGATAATGGAAGAACTCTCACTATTAGTATTTTAAACATTTTAAAACTGCAGTTTTTTTAAAGTGTATTGCTATTGTAGAAATAGGCAGAAAGAAATAGACAGCCTTTGTGTGTGTTTGTACCTAATAAGGGTTACACTTAAATCAGTGGAGAAAAGTATTGACTACTTAATATATAGAGCTAGAATAATTATTAATGCAATATATCAGATGTTGACAAAACTTTATGTAAAGGGCCAGATAGTCAATATTTTAGGCTTTGTGGGCTATACTATCTCTGTTACAACTACTCAACTTTTCCACTGTAGCATGAAAACAGCCCTGAACAAGACATAAACAAATGGGTGTGGCTATGTTACAATCAAATTTTATTTACAAAAACAGGTAACAGACTGAATTTTGACTTGAGGGCCATAGATTGCTGACCTATGCCATATGCCAAAAATAAAACCATAACACACTAGATGAAAATTTAGATAGTATTATATGGAAATATAATTTAATATATATAAATATAATTATGAAACATAATCTTATTATCTTGGAGTGGGGTATCTTATCACAATGCAATGTCAATAACAAGTAAACAAATAATTGATAATATTATCACTGAAGAATTAGAAATTTTTTTGCATAAAAACATAAATAGTATATGAAAAACTAGAAAAACATTTGCATATATAGTTTTTATAAATCAATAAGAAAAAGTCCACAAGTGCTGTAGAAAAATTAACATAAACCGTTCACAAAAGAAAAAAATATAATTGACATCAAATTTATTCTAACCCCTTTCGAACATCAGAATACAGAATATTGCATGAAACATTTGAAATTAATACAGTGAAGAATATGGTGGCTCACTTTTATTCAACTGGCATCTGATAGTAGAATTAAATTGACCAAAGGAAGCCTCCAATGGGTTTTACCTGATGAAATTAATTAACATGTGACTTGAACTCCTGGAAAACCTTTTAAAATATCCTGCTGGGAATAAAGCAGAAAACCAGAACAATGTTTTTGAATTTTTTGTTTTTTTATATAACGGTACCTTGTCCAAGGAAAATATGCATTCTTTGTTTATAACTCAGACTGGAATGCTTTTCTTCTTTTATGTAATATCTGATACATATAGAAGGCTATATGTAACATATTGATACATTATAAAGCGTGGTAATAATACATCTGTGAGCGCCCCCCCCAATCTACAAACTAGAACATTATCTATTTTGTTGACGACATATGCATTCTCCTCTCATCCTCCTGACGTCCTCCTCATCAGGAGGGAAACTCTATCCCACTTCCATGCTTATCATTTCCCTTGCTTTTTCTCCCTCTTAGAGAGATACTTATTTAGCTGAAGATTAAATCTGATAACTAACAGTTTTATCTCATGTTAAGTTTGAAAGAAGAAACATGATTTAACAAATAAATATGTTACATTCTAAGTAATTTTTTGAACTTCAAAATTCTGTTTTTAGAGAATATGTATTGAAAGTGATTGTGATTGATGTGTTTTCTAATGCTAAGGAAACTACTCTTCAGTTAATGTTGGTTAGACCCTGATATCAGAATCTCTTTGATACAAATGAGATAGACTTGGGTTGTTATTTTCTACTTGGTCCTTGTTGAACATATTCAGGGTTTTATGAGGTAAAATGAAAACAAAAAACAACCAGAAGTTGTGTTTCTGGCTATGAGAATTTGAACACTGTATAGGGAGCCATTTTCAATTAAGATTCTGACCCAGGAAAATGGAAAGTATCTGAATGAGCTCATCTTTGTACCTAGCTTCCTGAAGAATTCTTCTGAGCTGTCTCTCCATTGAAGAACCACAAACAAGTGCCTTGAGATGAGGTGTAGGTCTCAGACCTAGATCTGGAGACCATAATCTCAGATCTAGAATGCAAAAGTAAGAAAATATCATGATTCGTTTTGGGAGGAGTTGTTAAAGAAATAACATTCAATAATTGCAAATTTGATTGTTCTATTAATTCCAATCTGTCAGGTTCATGCTAATAGCAGGCTCAAAACTCTAGGAAGAACCAATAACTCTCCTTGCTAACCCTTTCCACACACATATTGGAAGAAGGAAGAGGGGGAGGAAGAGGAAGAGGAGGAGGAAAAGAGGAGCTTCCATATGGAGAAAAGTCAGGGAAACAATTGGCCCACTGTGGTAGAATCAGTGAAGGATTAGAAGCTTTTCTGCAGAGTTCCTTTTTCCTTTTGATAGTTCTTTAGATTCTTTCTTTTGAGACCTCCTGGCTCTTGGCCCTCTTCCTCTAGGGAATCTGGCTTAATAAAGGACTCTCTGATCTGGGGTGGGCCTTGGCTGGCTCTACTCTAGAACTTAGAAATACTACTGCTTGGGCCATGAATACGTTTGGGTCAAGAATAAGTTTGGGCCTGGTTTTAGTCTAGGTTTTGGGCTAGGGGGTAAAAAGCTTCATCATGGCTCATGTATGGCTTGGCTGAGTTTACGTGGAGGGTTTGGGGCCAAAGATTTCTGATGATAAACATTATATATTTGCCCAAGTGGTCCTTTCTTCTTCTTTTCTCTGAAACTTGTGGAAGGGATGGGGAGCTGATCTTAAATCTAGGATTCAATGTTCTAAGAATCTCTCCCTCACTTTCTACGGGGAGATATCAACACTATATGCCCATTAGGAAACCCTGGTGGTGTAGTGGTTAAGAGCTACATCTGCCAACCAAAAGGTCAGCAGTTCGAATCCACCAGGCGCCCCTTGGAAATCCTACAGGGTCTCTATGAGTCAGAATTGACTCAATGGCAACGGGTTTGGTTTGTTTTTTATATGCGCATAAAGGAGCTCTGGTGATGCAGTGGTTAAAGGGCTTGGCTGCTAACCAAAAAGGTTGGTGGTGTGAACCCACCAGCTGCTCCAAGGGAAAAAGATGCAGCAGTCTGCTTCCGTAAAAATTTGCAGACTTGGAAACCCTATGGGGGCAGTTCTACTCTGTCCTATAGGGTCACTATGAGTCAGAATCGACTTGACAGCAATTTTTTTTTTTTAATTTTGGTTATATGCCCATGATAGTTTGCTGAAAAATGTCTTTGCTGTTGTTAAAAATAGATGGAGAGAATTATTTGAAAGAAAGGATCAAGAAAATGGATTTTCTTGAAGAAATGTGAGAGAGAGAAGCCAATCCTTGATGAGAGTTTTGAGACCATTAAACTCACTTTAAGAAAACAAAACTGAACCAGATAGTAGAAAAATACTCAAACCATATGAGATGCTTAGTACAAGGACATCTCAAGCATGATTTTTTTGGGAAACTGATGGCATGGCATAAATGACAGAAAACAACCCTGTAAGAACGGAGAAGCTGATGACCACAGACTGTAAAAGGATCAATTGGAAAGGGAAAAACTGATTTGCTATGGTGAAGAAATCTGTGTAGAAGAGAAAGGGTCATCTTATCATTATCTTATAATTGTTCTCATAATTATCCCTTCTTTTTCCAGAATCATCAGTTTCTCCTTTTTACAGCAATTCTCCCATTGTCATATAAACATGCCATAGTGTATCTCTCGTTCTTAAACACACACACACACAAATACACAAACAACAGACAAACGTCTTCCAGTCATTTTTTTTTATCACATTGGTTTGTTCCATTTCTTCAAAACCCTTATCATCTGAAATATTCTTAAGTATTTTTTTTTTTTTTTTATTATTTGCCTCCCAACTCTAGGATATAAGCTCTATTAGGGCAGGGGTCTTGTCTTTATTGTTCATTGCTATATTGTCAAGTGTCCTAGGATAGTATTCAGCATATAGCTGGGGTTCAATAAATATTTGTTGATTGAATGTAAGAAGTTGAGTGACATAAATGTATGGGATATAATTATTCTTGTTGTTGTTAGATGATGTCAAGTCGATTTTTGGCTCATGAAGACCCAGTGATAGAGTACAACTGTCTCATAAGGTTTTCTTGGATGTAATCTTTATGGAAGCAGATTGCCAGGTCTTTCTCCTGTGGAGCTGCTGGGTAGGTTTGAACTGCCAACCTTTCGGTTAGCAGCTGATCACGTAACCATTGCACAATCGGGGCTCCTCAGGATATAATTATCCAGGTATAAATAGATTTGTTTCAAAGGTAATTATAGGTCTCAAGGGCAGAGACAATGGGATGAACTCTGACCCTAAGAATAATAGGAAAAGCAATTCCATAATCCATTTGGGCATGGACCAAGGATGACAAACACACAGAATACCACTTACCACTTCCCCATCCTGCTTTCAAGACAGACGTTACTAATCTATCACAGCTCTTTATTATTATTATTATTATTATTGCAGAGAATGGCTACTACCTCCCTGATTATTAAATCCATAACACAAAGGGAAGGATGAGGTTTTGCATTGAAAGACAGGTTTGGGAAAAGAAGACCTTATCAACATGGAAGGTCAAGGTCCTTTTGTAAATAATGTTGCCTAGCCATCAACCCTAGGGTGTGAATAAGGAAAAGGAGCAGTTGCATGGCTTTAGTTTTTTCCTTCATAAACAAAGGAAATGACACCACAGTGCAATCACCCCAAATTCACTGACCAAGGGGACTGATCAGAGAACTCAGCATTTGTCCAAGGACAGATGCCAAAACTCAGCCAAGAAAATCTGCCTGGTGAAAAGCACACGACAGGGATATGCCCCCACGGACCATGACCGGCAGCTATAACTCACCTTCTTGGAGAGCTGTTGGCTCAAGGGAAGTCTGGATAGGACACTGAGAATGAGAGAAAAGCATAGGTGAGAACATGAATGTGGCAACTCTTATCCAGTTTCCGAATATTTTTATATGGGGAAGGAAACAAAGGGAGTAGGGACAGCAGCTGGAAGTTGTCTTTCATTAAAGTGTAAGTGGAATCAAAAACTTGACTAATAAAGATGGAACTTCCTATAACTAGACAAAGTAAACAAACAAGGAGAGTCAAAAAATTATTTACAAAGCACATTTTCAATGGCCTGCAATGAAGATAAATGCTAAGAAACAGAGACTCCTCCCCATGGCTCTGCCTCCTCTCCCAACAAACACTTAAACTGCTCTAAATGATGAAACTAGCACCTGAGTTGCCTCCAAATGAGAGCACTGCTCCTGGCAAGTAGGGGGAACTCTTTGGCAAAGGGACAGACTTCTGCCCAACATAAGTGATCTGAAGTAACTGCAGAATTCTCATCAATATAGTTGACATGTCAAACAAACAAATAAACAAAACCATAGAGAATAGAAGCAAACTCTCCACTTGCTCCCGTGGTTCTGGCTTGTCTCCATTTCTAACTTCACAGGACAGTGACAGAGTCCTGGGATGACATGCCAAGAGAAGGCTGGGCTAAGGACTTCATTAGACACTGCCTTCTCCCTCCAGTGGGCCTTTCTGTGGGTGAATCATATGAGGCAGGACCACGTGAGACCAAGAGAATGGTTTGTATGTCTCCTCTAGGAGTAGCACTGGACACACAAAGGAGGTGAAGAGCTGATGCAGAGAAAGGATCAAGAGGGACCTGTTTGCTCAGAAGAATCTGCAGGAAATGAATCACTGATTGGATTGCAGTGGAATAAGAATAACATCTTCCAGGTGTGAGTCTTCTTGCCTAGATCCTTTCCCTACTTGTTCTCCACCCTCAACTACTGGCCTTCTTTTTCCCTTCTTATTTCTCTCTGCCCTCCAGCACCTCAGGTATTCTTATTTATTAAAAAAAAAAAAAAAA